GGTTTTGAATCTACTCTTCTTTGGGAACCTGATGAAGGTCGGGAAGCCTTTTCTCAGAAGGTGTGCACATGCCCACAATTCAGCATGCAGCTTCGGATCACACAAACACTAAGCTTTTAGGGCAGTGGTTCTCAACCTTCTGGCCCTTTAAATACAGTTCCTCATGTTGTGACCCAACCATAAAATTATTTTCGTTGCTACTTCATAACTGTAATGTTGCTACTGTTGTGAATCGTAATGTAAATATCTGATATGCAGGATGGTCTTAGGCGACCCCTGTGAAAGGGTCGTTCGACCATCAAAGGGGTCACGACCCACAGGTTGAGAACCGCTGCTGTAGGGCCTCCTGGTCCACCTCTTCCGAGGGGGCATACGGCATGTCCACAGCTCCGACCTGTGTGAGCCATGAGACAGATGTCCTTGGTCTAGTCTGGTCCCCAGAGCAGGGGGATCCTGAAGCCATTGGCTGTGCCAGCACATGACCGCCTCTCCAGTTCCTTGTCCTTCCTCCTAGAAGGGGCACCTGAGTAAGTGACTGTTTCTGATCTGAGAAAGCTATTCAAAGGAGCACCTGTCTCTTTAACCCTCAGGCACACCTTAGGGGCTACAGGGAGATGTCACCTCCTGGGCAGGGGAGCATCAAACACAAAGGTGGTCATGGAAATGTAGCCTGTCTCACACTGAGCCCATTGCCGTGCAGAATGCGGATTGATCATAAGGGGACCAGACAGTTCCATTTCCCCGTTGCTCAGTCTGAGGCCTTCCTCCCTGCACCCCACAGCTAGGTCCTGTTTTCCTGCAGCTGGCCAGGGCTTTCTAGGTCCTGTTTTCCTATTGGTTCCCTGCAGATGGTACCACTTTCCCCAGATGGTACCACTTCTCCCCTTTCTGCCCCCCACCTCCATTCCTGGCCCAACAATCCCGGGCTTCTCACTAGCACCCCTCCCATACCCATCTCTTGCCCTCTCCCATCCCTCCTGCTCTATCTAAAATGCAAATCTAACCTTTCATTTACTTATTCCACACATACTTATGGAAAACCTACTGTGTGCCACACAGTCCCTGGCTCTGAGGACATAGTATTGAATTAATGAAACAGAGCTTCCTGCCATGTGGACCCTGCATCTATCCTGTGACCAAGTTCACCCACTCATAGGACTTGGAAGGCTATGGAACGGCTCCACCTGGAACAGCAATCCTGTCCTCCTGCAAGCCCCCCAACCTCCTCTCCTACCATTGCCCTTTACTCCAGGTCAGCTGACCCTCCTCCCTGGGCCCCCCCAAAATGCCCCTTCACCTCCACAGGTTCAGGCTCAGCTCAGCTCAGCTGCCCCCTATTCTGAAGAGACTCTGGTCCCAGCTGTGGAGGCCACCCCCGCCTCTCTGAGTTCCTCCGGTGCTGGATTTGTTCCTGACATTAGGGCCTTACACTCTTGTTCCAGTGTTTGTTGGCAAGTTACTCTCCCCATAAATCTGTGAGCTTCTGGAGCCCAGCTCTCGCTTTGTTGGTCTCTGTTCCCCTCCACAGCCTTGTAAAATGGTTGCCCTTGAAATGTTTGTGGAATGAGTAAATGAGTGAACAAGGGGACCATGCAGTGAGCAGTTCCAGAAACCCTGGGGGCAGGCAGCGGCCCAAAGGCAAGGTGTGGTGGCCGCAGGAAGACACTAGAGGGCGACAGAGAGGAAAAACTGCCAGTTGGGATCCTCGGGGAGGGGCACAGAACAGGAGAGGCCTGGGGGAGGGTCCCCGTCAGCCCGAAACCCGAAGCTCACGTCCTCCGCGCCCTCACTGGCTATTTGAGAAAGGCCGTTCCCTGGGGAAAGACGCGGAGGGCACCAGGGTACCAAACCCCAGTCCCTCCCACGTCGGAGGGTCAGCCTCTGCTCCGTACCTTGGGAAAAGAGAAGAATACTGCCAGGAAGGCAGGCAGGAAAACAGGAAACTCCAATTCTGCATTGGTAACAAGGAAGGGGAAATGCGATGGGGGTGGGGGAACCTTCGCAGGATGTGAGCCTTTGGGATGCTGTAGGTCCTCTCTCCACAGATGGGAGCCGCAGGGATACCCTCCTC